TAATGAGGCACAACACAAAGGAAGACAGTTCTAAACAACTCCACCTGTCCCTTTGTGATGCTAAGTAACTATAGGGCTTATCTTTTCAGCCTCCTAAATGCCCTTCCTGCCTTGATGGAATCTTGCAGGAACCATTCTTTTATAAACTGGAGACCAAAACAGAGTCTCCCCACCTAGTTTTAGAATTAGTCTGATGGGGCCGGGCGCAGTGGCTCATGCCTGTAATCCCAGCACTTTGGGAGACTGAGGTGGGTGGATCATGAGGTCAGGAGTTCAAGACCAGCCTGGGTAAGATGGTGAAACCTCGTCTCTACTAAAACAACAAAAATTAACCGGGTGCAGTAGCAGGCGCCTGTAATCCCAGCTACTCAGGAGGCTGAGGCAGGAGAATTGCTTGAATCCAGGCGGCAGAGATTGTAGTGAGCTGAGATTGCACCACTGTACTCCAGCCTGGGTGACAGAGTAAGACTCTATCTCAAAAATAAAAAATAAAAATAAAAAAAGAATTAAGCTGCCGGGCGCGGTGACTCACGCCTGTAATCCCAGCACTTTGGGAGGCTGCAGCGGGTGGATCACGAGGTCAAGAGATCGAGACCATCCTGGTCAACATGTGAAACCTGGTCTCTACTAAAAATACAAAAAATTAGCTGTGCATGGCGGCACGTGCCTGTAATCCCCGCTACTCAGGAGGCTGAGGCAGGAGAATTGCCTGAACCCAGGAGGCGGAGGTTGCGGTGAGCAGAGATCACGCCATTGCACTCCAGCCTGGGTAACAAGAGTGAAACTCCGTCTCAAAAAAAAAAAAGAATTAACCTGATGGACAGGTAGGCTCTCATAACAGGCTGGGTGCAGTGGCTCATACCTATAATCCCAGCACTATGGGGACCAAGACAAGAGGATCACTTGAGGCCACAAGTTCAATACCAGCTTGGCCAACATAGTAGGACCCCCTCTGCACAAAAAAATAAGAAAATTAGGCATGGTGGCATGCAGCTGTGACCTCAGCTACTTGGGAAGGTGAGGTGGGAAGATTGCTTGACCCCAGGAAAGGCTGCAGTGAGCTACGATCATACCACTTACACACCACCCTGGGTGGCAGAGTGAGACCCTATCTCCAAAGAACAGAAAACAAAACAAGACTCTGACAGCAGAACCACCAGTAAAACCAAAGTAATGTCCACTGCTGACTTAATCGGATTAACAAAAAAAAAATGTGGGGAGAGGACATTCTCTTCCTCCCCACACTCAGACTACTACTCCAAGAGAACACAGTCAACAATACTATTGTAGTCCCTTCCATCAGAGGGGGATAAGAGCCAAGACCCTCCAGTGAATGCCTGAAACCTCAGATAGTACAGAACTCTATATAAACTACGCACGACTTTCTTTCTCCTTCTTCACAATCTCACAAATAGAAGATTGTTCTTACCACAGATGTTACCAGCCTCAGCATACAATTCTTTCCATTTTTTTTTTTTTTTTTGAGATGGAGTTTTGATCTTGTCGTCCTAGCTGGAGTGCAATGGCATAAACTCAGCTCACCGCAACCTCCACCTCCCATGTTCAACTGATTCCCCTGCCTCAGGCTCCAGAGTAGCTAAGATTACAGGCATGTGCCACCACGCCCAGATAATTTTCTATTCTTAGTAGAGACAGGGTTTCTCTCTGTTGGTCAGGCTGGTTTCGAACTCCAGACCTCAGGTGATCCAGCCACCTCAGCCTCTCAAAGTGCTGGGATTACAGGCATGAGCCACTGTGCCCAGCTCTTTCTTTATTAAGTTGAGATCTTTCACCTTTTCATTAAAGGAAACACTTTACAGCTTCTCTTTGCAATATCCAAACTGCCAGCATCTTTGGCTTTGGGGCCATTATTAAATATAAGGGTGACTTGAAAAAAGCATTGCAAAACCACATAATTTAACACTTATTGATTTTTTTTTTTTTTTTGAGACAGTCTCACTCAGTCACCCAGACTGGAGTGCAGTGGTGCGATCTTGGCTCACTGCAACCTCCACCTCCTGGGTTCAGGCAATTCTCCTACCTCAGCCTTCCAAGTAGCTGGAATTACAGGCACACATCACAATGCCTAGCTAATTTGTATACTTTTTTTTAGTACAGACAGGGGTTCACTGTTTTGGCCGGGCTGGTCTCAAACTCCTGACCTTAGGTGATCCACCCACCTCAGCCTCCCAAAGTGCTGGGATTATAGGCATGAGCCACCAAGCCTGGCCCTGAATTGATTATTTCTTATGAAAACTTCTGAATTTTCCACTTAATATTTTAGATCCCAGCTGACCATTGGTAACTGAAACTACTATTGTTAATAAGGAGGGACTAGGATACCCACCCTGACTGTATTTACAAAGCTTTCAAGATACAAAGGTTCTGCCAGGTGTGGTGGCTCATGCCTGTAATCAAGGCAGGTGGAATGGCTCGAGCCCAGGAATTCGGGACCAGCCTGGGCACCATGGTAAGACCCAGTATCTACAGAAAACAGAAAAAATTAGCCGGGCATGGTGGTATACAACTGTAATCCCAGCTACTTGGAAGGCTGAGGTGGGAGGATCACTTGAGCCTAGGAGGTTGAGGCTGTAGTGAGCCGTGATTGAGCCTGCACTCCAGCCTGGGCAACAGAGCCAGACGCTGTCTCAAGGGGGGGAAAAAAAAAAAAAGATACAAAGATCCTGATGAGTTTTCTTTAAAACATACCAGGAAGGCAATACCACAACTGAGTAAGCTGCTCCAGGGCCTTCTGGTCTAACACTACCTCAGCCAGGCTGAGTCTTCCCCACAGCTTTTTCAGCAAAACAGGACAACTGGATAAAATGTGTCAACAAGTTGCTATGAGAGATTAGAGACAAGCGGATCAGACACTTGCATCAAACTGTGCATGACTTCAGGTAGATCACAACTTCTCTAAGCCTGTTTTCTCATCTGAAAAAAAGTAGACAGATGGTGAGGATTAAGTGAAGTGAAGCATGTAATACTCCCCATACCCACCCACGCTTGCTATCTGGGAGATATTATTATTGGAAAGCCACGAAGAGTAGTGAGTGAAAAATCAAAGTGAGGGCAGCAAAACTCCAGGACTATAAACAGAAGCCCAGTCCCAAAACCTATGAAACTACTACAAGAAAACACTGGAAAGGCAGGGCATGGTGCCTCACGCCTGTAATCCTAGCACTTTGGGAGGCCGAGCTGTGGGATCACCTGAGGTCAGGAGTTCAAGACCAGGCTGGCCATCATGGTGAAACCCCATCTTTTAAAAAAAAAACCCTGGAGAAGTGCTTCAGGCCATTGTTTGAGCTCAGGTTTTTTGCATAAGACCTCAAAAGCACAAGCAACTAAAGCAAAACAGACAACTGGGATTTCATCAAGCTAAAAAGCTTCTGCACAGCAAAGGAAACAATCAACAAAGTGAAGAGACAACCCACAGAATGGGAAAAAACATTGGGAAGCTAGCTATCTGACAAGGGATGAATAACCAGAATATATAAGGAGATGAAATAACTCAACTGCAAAAAGACAAATAATCCAATCTAAGAAATGGGCAGGCCGGGCACAGTGGCTCACTTCCATAATCCCAGCACTTTGGAAGGCCGAGGCAGGTGGACATATCTGTAATCCCAGCACTTTGGGAGGCTGAAGCAGGTGGATCACATGAGGTCAAGAGTTCAAGACCAGCCTGGCCAATATGGCAAAACTGCAACTCTACTAAAAATACAAAAATTAGCTAGGCATGGTGGCTGGTGCCTGTAGTCCAGTTACGTGGGAGGCTGAGACATGAGAACTGCTTGAACCCAGGAGACGAGGTTGCAGTAAGCTAAGATCACACCACTGCACTCCAGCTTAGGTGGAGCAATCTCAACACTTTGGGAGGCCGAGGCAGGAGGGTCACCTGAGGTCCAGAGTTTGAGATTAGCCTGACCAACATGGAGAAACCCCGTCTCTACTAAAAATACAAAATTAGCCAGGCGTGGTGGCAAATGCTTGTAATCCCAGCTACTAGGGAGGCTGAGGCAGGAGAATCGCTTGAACCCAGGAGACAGGGGTTGCCGTGAGCCAAGATTGCACCATTGCACTCCAGCCTGGGCAACAAGAGCAAAGCTCTGTCTCAAAAAAGAAAAAAAGAAAAGAATATGTGTTTATCATCACTGAACTGTATACTTTAAAATGGTACAAATGGCAAATCATATACGTATATTTTATATCACAAATAAGTAATTAAAAAAAAATCCAGAGGACTTACAAGTGAAACAGCATCTTTTTTTCAACTAGAAAACCTGAGTCCGAAGGAGGACTGATGTCCTCCTACCCACTCCTGGCCACCCCAACCCATACACTTAAGGACACTTGCAGAACATCATCCTACACAGCTCAGTGCGTTTCCAGTTCCTGCAGCGCCCAGTAGCTAAGTCTGGCCTCTCTGTAAGTATTTTAGATATGGAACCTAAAGAATGGCAATGATTACAAACATCTGTAGAACTTTTTACAAAGTAACTTCGTTCTGATATTGAAGAACACAACTCTGTTCCTTCTTATCCTGTACGTTCAGGCCTGTTTCAGCTTGTAAGTAACACGGGAAGTGAACTTCACCTCGAGGATGATTTACTAAAAAGGAAGAGAGTCGCCCACACACTCCCCCTTTAGCTCAAAAATACAAACAAAGCGAAGCTCAGGAGACTCCCCTCGCACAAAACGCTGAGGATGGGATTCGAACCACCTAACACCCAACATTAGTTCCCCATATGACTCACCGCGTGAGCCCACCTGGAGCCCCACACTCTCCGCAGCCTCAGCCAGCTGAGTGGCGCTAAACCTGCAGATACAAACTCCACCCTCAGCCAATCAAAATGCCCTCCCCTGCCGCCGGACCAATGAAAAGCAGCAGATGTGGCCGTCAGGCGTCGCCTCAATGCTTCCTGGGAGTTGTAGTTTAGAAGGCAGAGCGGAACTCAGAACCCAGGTTCCCCTCGGTTGATCCCGCCCCCTCAACTCCTCAGCCAATCAGCAGCATTAGTCTGGTTGGCCGCTCTCTCTGCTTTTCCCCACGAGTGACCGCCGCTACATAGGCCGCCGGCCAGATGTGGCGGCGGAGAGTTGGGGCTTTGCTCCGGCTGTGGGGGTTTTGGCCGACAGGGGTTCCCGGAAGGAGACCGCTAAGCTGCGATGCTGCGTCGCAGGCGGGAAGCAATTCTCCCCGCTGTTGGAATTGCGGCAGCCCAGGGGGCCCTGGGCGGGAGAACGGGTTCTTCTGCCCACAATGCCGAGCGCTGCAGGCACCTGACCCCACTCGAGACTACTTCAGCCTCATGGACTGGTACGAGCGACGGTTTCAGAAAACCTGCCTGAGCGAGAGAGACGTCGGGGGCTGGCCTGCGAGAGGGGAGGGCGGACCTGGCTTGCGGAAGAGAAAGCGGAACTAATAGGGGGGCGGAGGTCTGGAGAGCAGGCGTTAGTGAAGTGTCTTGATTTCTCAGGAGGAAATTGAGAGGCGGGGACTGAGGGAGGCAGCATTGAGGTGTGGAGAACGGAGAGGAACGGGACTGGAGACGCGGGCACTGAAGTCAGAGGAAATAGGGGGGCCGAGGCTACAGTGGAGGGAGATTTGAGGGGCGGTACCGACGAGAAAGGTTAGGAGAAGTCGAGGGGCGGAGTTTGAGGAAAGGGTACTTGAGGGCCAGGACCTGGAAGACTGGAAGACTTGAATGATAGTGTCTGGAAGGTTTAAAGTTGGGTTGTTGTTTTTAAGAAAGGACTGTAGAAGGCCGGGCGCGGTGGCTCGCGCCTGTAATCCCAGCACTTTGGGAGGCCGAGACGGGCGGATCACCTGAGATCAGGAGTTCAAGACCATCCTGGTCAACATGATGAAACTCCATCTCTACTAAAAATACAAAAAATTAGTTGGGTGTCGTGGTGCGCGCCTGTAATCCCAGCTACTCGGGAGGCTGAGGCAGGAGAATGGTTTAAACCCGGGAAGCAAAGATTAGAGTGAGCTGAGATGGCGCTACTGCACTCCACCCTGGCAACAGAGTGAGACTCCGTCTCAAAAAAAGAAAAAAAGGACTGCAGAAGTGTGGTCCAAGATTGGGGATTAAAGCACGAAAAGCTTAATATTGTGGGCGAGGCCTAAGGGAAACGTGAGAATTGGAGGGAGAGGGTCCAATACATGGGTTTTTTTCCCCTGAGGCTGAGGATCTTGGAGAGATGGGGCAGTGTGGACACAGCTGAACTGGTAAGGAAATAGGATAGATTTTGGGAGTACAAAGTGAAAGGGGTTGGATTAAAATAAACTGGGAGACAGAGATAAAGGGACCTGAACTGTGGAAAGATAGGGTGGTATTAAAAAAAAAAAAAATTAGTAACACTAGTTCAAGCACTGAAGGAAGACTTTCTTCAAGACCATCTTGTAGATGGACCATTGCAATAGGGTCCTGCAGTGGGGGAGAGAGATTGGTCTCAACTCCAAAAACAGCATGCCCAGGAGGGAATTTGTAGCCAAGAAGCAGAGTAAGCGGGATTCTGACTAAACCGACCTAAAAGGATTCTTGCTAAAGACAGGCCAGGGTGCTCAGACACTTCCTGGAGAATGGTAGAGGATGAAGAATCTAATCAGAGATCTAGGTGATAAAATATGAGGATTGAGGATTGTAGCTAAACTGACTTAGCAAGGTTCTTTGCCAAAACTGGATTATACAAGAAAGCACACAGCCGGGCCTAGGAGAAGGTCCAGAAATCTGACTAAAGTTTGGCCAAGCAAAGAATCTTTGTCTGTGTAATTTAGGAATGTCCCTTTCCCTTAATTATGGGATCTGCCCACACCAGTCACTGAACATGTATGAGGAGCTGCAATAACACTGATCTTTTAAGTTCCTCAGCATCCCTGTCTTGCTCTCACCTCAAGATCGTTGCTCTTGGAATTCTACCTGGATGACTCTTTGTTCTGATCTTTGATTACTCATCATCATTCTAATTTCAGCTTAATGCCATCTCTTTGTCCACTACATCTGCTACCCTCTCTGACCCTGTTCTGTGTCCCTTCATAGCACCTACTACTTTTTGAAATTATCTGTTTATATGTTTAGTGCATCTTCTCCCTAAGCAAGAACCAGGCTCATGGTAGACAAATCTTTAAATATTTGTCACATAAATTTCATCTCCCAATTTCCTTCCAGCAACTGTTCCTTCAGAGTTGATACTGTGAAGCTCCAGCACAGGTACCAGCAACTGCAGCGTCTTGTCCACCCAGATTTCTTCAGCCAGAGGTCTCAGGTAGCTTCTTGGCCAACCCCAATAATCCCCAAATATGTGTGCATACCAGGTGGCAGTGGTCTTGTGGCTATGTGATTATCAGGGACAGAGCTGGAAAATCAGCTCTATCTGCCCATGGCAGTCTGACCCCAGCCTGCCAGACCCAGAGCTCTCATTCACTCACAGCTTTTGTCTGACTTCCCCAGATAACTTAAAACCTATCAGCTGAATATAAAGGCACCTCATCCCACACCAGCTCTACTTAACCACTTCCTTAGGTGCCTGCCTATCAGCATATTATAAAATTTTGTGGGCTGGGTGCAGTGGCTTATGCGTGTAATCCCAGCACTTTGGGAGGCCAAGGCAGGCAGATCACTTGAAGTCGGGAGTTCGAGACTAGCCTGGCCAACATGGTGAAACCCTGTCTCTACTAAAAATACAAAAATTAGCCAAGCCCAGTGGCACACACCTGTAGTCCCAGCTACTCAGGAGGCTGAGGCAGGAGGATCTCTTGAACATGGAAGGCGGAAGTTGCAGTGAGCTGAGATCGTGCCACTGCACACTCCAGCCTGAATGAAAAAAGACTGTGATTTGGATGGTAATAGTACTATCTTCATCTCCACTAACAGACTGAAAAAGACTTCTCGGAGAAGCATTCAACCCTGGTGAACGATGCCTATAAGACCCTGCTGGCCCCCCTGAGCAGAGGACTGTACCTTGTAAGGTGATTTCCCAACCCTTCTCTGCATGACATCCTAATGCCCATTATAGCATAGGACAGCTATGTCCCCTTTATTCAGCAGAAGAGTGCTTGAGGTCGGGCATGGTGACGCATACCTGTAATCCCAGCACTTTAGGAGACTGAGGTGGTCAAATCACTGGAACCCACGAGTTCAAGAACATTCTGGGCAACACAAGAAGACCTCATCTCTATACAAAAATCCAAAAATTAGCTGGGCATGGTGGCACACACCTGTAGTCCTAGCTCCTCTGGAAGCTGAGGCAGGAGGATCACTTGAGGCTTGGAGGTCGAGGCTACAGTCAGCTGTGATTGTACCACTGCACTGTCTCGGGAAAAAAAAAAAAAAGTCCAGGGACCCAATGATATTTAGCCTCAAAGCACAAATATAATTTTCTCTGAATATTCTCTGTGAATATTACTTGCCTCAACTGCATTTTTTAAATT